GAGCCGCATTTTTAACCACCCCCCCTGATGCAAAAATGATCCCTCCTGTTGCAAAAATGATCCCTCCTGTTGCATTTGGAGGCCAATGGCACAACTGAACGAGCCACATTCTTGGGGTCAAGTTGCAGTCACCTTGCATGTGGTTGTGTGGCATTTACAGGGTTAAAACAGGCGATTAGGATGAACATATCCAATTTTGGGTTTTTAAACAAAAATTGATCTTTTACTTATGACCCAGTTTTAGGTGGAGGCTGGAGGGTGACGGGCTGATTCAGGTTCTTGCTTCTTATCTGTCTTTGATACTCCATTGGTGAGATCTTCCTGCCAGAACTCCCCACTCTTCCTGTCCCCCTGGGAGGTTTTGAATGTGTGCCATAGCTCCTTCTGTGTTCCTTCCCATACTTTAAAATATAAAAAAAAATGCAGCAGGAATGGCGGGAACCCTTTATAATGGACACAGCGGGTGTACAGGCCTGGGAACTTAGCACAGGGATGGTGGGAACCCCTCATAATGGACACAGCGGGTGTACAGGCCTGGGAACTCAGCACAGGGATGGTGGGAACCTTTCATAATGGGCACAGCGGGTGTACAGATCCAGGAACTCAGCACAGGGATGGTGGGAACCCCTCATAATGGGCACAGCAGGTGTACAGAACTGGAACTCAGTTCAGAGATCTCACCAATACAGTCCCAGAGGGAAAGAAGAGTCTGCCAGCTGCTTCAATCTTCCAGCATATACCAACAACTGGTGAACTGTCCCCCATCATTGTCAGCAAATATTTCCCCCTTTCACATGCCAAATGGCCATGAACCAAATTGTTTTCATAGAAAGGATCTGAAACTACCATAATATGCAAATGAAACGTAAAGGAAATGTAAGATGACTTTCATACAATTGATTGCTTTGCTATTATATGTTATTGTTATCTGCAGCCTTGGCAGAAACCACCATCCCCCCATCTGTATGAGATCTTCTACACCTAACAAAGCCATGAACAAGCAATGCTGATTTGGTGTTGGTGTGTCAGAAACAACATCCCAATCAGTGTTTCTGCTGCAAAACTCTCGGGAATGACAAAAGCATCCATGCTGCTCTGTTTGAGACACCCAGGGCTTTTTTCTCAGAGAATAGGTGCAGGAACTCCCCCCTTCTGAGTCCCCCCTACCCACCTCCGAGCACCATCTCTTGGCTCCACCCCCTACCCACTTCTGAGCACAATCTCTTAGCTCCACCCCCTACCCACCTCCGAGCACCATCCCTTGGTTCCACCCCCTACCCACTTCTGAGCACAATCTCTTAGCTCCACCCCCTACCCACCTCCGAGCACCATCCCTTGGTTCCACCCCCTACCCACCTCCAAGCACCATCTCTTGGCTCCACCCCCTACCCACCTCCGAGCACCATCTCTTGGCTTCATACCCCTACCCATCCCCGAGCACCATCCCTTGGTTCCACCCCCTACCCATCTCCAAGCACCATCTCTTGGCTCCACCCACTACCCACCTCCGAGCACCATCTCTTGGCTTCATACCCCTACCCATCTCCAAGCACCATCTCTTGGCTCCACCCCCTACCCACCTCCGAGCACAATCTCTTGGTTTCATACCCCTACCCACCTCTGAGCACCATCTCTTGGCTCCACCCCCTACCCACCTCCGCGCACCATCTCTTGGTGGCTCCACCCCCTACCCACCTCCGCGCACCATCTCTTGGCTTCATACCCCTACCCATCTCCGGGCACCATCTCTTGGCTCCACCCCCTACCCACCTCCAAGCACAATCTCTTGGCTTCATACCCCTACCCACCTCCCAGTACAGCTCCTTTTAGAGAATAACAGTCTTGTGGCTTCTATCAGTGTCCAGCAGAACACTGGTTAAAGCTTGTAGGAGGAGTTCTCACTGTCCTATGAGGCTGCAGAACCCCTGACCCTCTGTCTGGACAGTACTGATTGGCCTTCTGATGATCACATGCACCCTCCTAAGAAAAAGAAAAAAACTCTTTAGCAACACACACCAAACTGAGCATGTGCAGCTTGCCCCCAAGGCTCTCTTCTATCAGCAGATGGATTGGGGACTAGAAAAGAAGGGGAGGATCAGAGAAGACAGGGTCAAACAGCTGTTTTACACAATGCAGAGGATTAACCCCTTAGGTTCCACAGTGAATATAATAATAATATGCTCTGCTGCATATACAGACTGATTGTACAGTTGTGGGTTTAGTGACATTCCAAGCCAGACTCCAGCCTTCCCTTCAGTCTTGCACAGTTGCACAGCAGGCTCTTCTGGACAGAAACAGCTCGTTCAATCATGGAGGCTCAGCATCACACGTGGGTGCTGTCTAGGGTGGTCTGTTTGCAAATACAGCCAGCCTAGGAACGCCCACTCCTCCAGACTAGGGGTGGACTGACAACTCATGGGGCCCCCGGGCAATAGGCGATCATGGAGCCCCTGTGTCCTCGCCCACACTCAAAAGCCTATGAAAAAGCCAATGAAAGGTACCAGGGGCATCTCATGGGGCCCCCTACTGACCCCAGGCCCTCGGGCAGTGCCCGAGTGCTTGAATGGTCAATCCGCCCCTGCTCCAGACTGACACCCATCAATGTATTTTGATATTTACATAACTCCTCCCAAGAGCCAACCTACTGCTTGTATCAGGGCTGAGGGCTCTTGAGAGGAGAGTGTTTTCAGGAAGCTATGTACAGCCTCCTACTGGCCCCTCCCACCAGCTTTGATCTGCCTGATTTGCATTGAGAAGCACAGAGACCCAGTGATGATGTGTTTTCAGGAAGCTGTGTACAGCCCCCTGCTGGTCCCTCCCACCAGCTATGATCTGCCTGCATTGCATAGAGAAGCCCAGAGACCCAGTGATGATGTGTTTTCAGGAAGCTGTGTACAGCCCCCTGCTGGCCCCTCTCACCAGCTATGATCTGCCTGCATTGCATAGAGAAGCACAGAGACCCAGTGATGACATCACTACATCTAAAATAAGGTATTTAGTAAAAACAGAAAGGCTTCATTTAAACATTTCATTAGTATGTTGATGGGGGTGGGGGGAACCTGGGCAGCACAGTGGATAAATGGTTAGCTTGTCTGCCTGGCCGTACTAGGGTCATTGGTTTAAATCCCAACCACAGCACCAACTACCTGGAGTTTGCATGTTCTCCCTGTGCCTCCAGTTTCGGGCCTCCCTGTGCCTCCGGGCTTCCTCCAGTTTCCTCCCACACTCCAAAGACATGCTGGTAGGTTAATAGGCTCCTGTCTAAATTGGCCCTAGTATGTGTATGTATGAATGTGAGTAATGCTGGCCATAGCCATTTTTCAGTCACAAAAAAAAAAATTGGCCGATTTTCTCACCATTAGTGGGTTAATTGGTCGGCCATTTTTCGGGCTTTCTGCACATTTTTTTTTATCGGGCATGTTGGAAAATTTGCGGGCGATTTTGACGATCGGCCGATTTTCCCGGCAATGATGTGCAAATCGGCCGATCGTTTTACTGATAAAAAAATCATGAGCCGTGACCTGCAAGAAGAATTCCAGTCCGCTATTATATTTTATAGTAAGTCTCGCGGTTGCAACAATGTACCTATTTGTATCCGAATAAAAACATGGCTACATTGTTGCAACCGCAAGACTTTTTCATATAAAATATAATAGTGGACTGGAAGTCTTCTGCTTCTTATGTATTTCTGTCACATATGGTGCGCTCCCCTGTCTCTGCAAGGGACAGAAGTTATGGGGTTAATGCCGGCCATACGGGACAAAAATCGGCCAATTTTTTTACCGTTGGTGGTAATGTCGGCCGATCGTATGACCGATTTTTCATTTTTATTTTTAAAAATCGATCAGTCTATGGCCTGCATTAGGCGGACCATACAATTTTCTTGAGAATTTTGCTTTAGATTTACCAAAACCCATATAATAGGAGGTCAAACCTAAACAACACTTTCAATTGTATCCAATTAGGCGGCCCTTCCTTGCACTACATAAAAATCAATAGCAAAAGTGAGCGCTATCCAAAAAGCTGCTGTGCACTCAAGGTGACCAACACAAGCCTTAACCCTTTGAGGACCAAGGGACGTATTTGTCCCATGTTTTTAATTGCGTGTATCATCTGATTAAGAACTTAAAACTCTTTTTTTTTTTTTTGGTTTGAGTCAAAATATTAGTTCTTATCAACAATCAACAAATGGATCTAGCTTTTTGCCAATTATTTCATAAAATGGCTTAGTTACAGCAACTGAAGTGTACGAACTTTAAAAACAGAAAAATTGATTCTTTTGGCGTTCCAAAATCTTACGGTCCTCAAAGGGTTTACCAGAAAGAATAAATAGTGCAGCGCTAAGAACTGACAATATGTATTCGCAATGATTAAAATAGGATTCAATATGAACAGTCTGTGCAGTTGTAAAGTGCCAAGTGACTGGTAGGCTCAATGGTGGTGCTCCGTCAGTAATAGTTGAATTGCGCACTCACCAGAAGTATAATAATAATAATACGCGTTATATACAGGGGTGGACTGACAACTCACGGGGCCCCCGGGCAATAGGGGATCATGGGGCCCCTGTGTCCTTGCCCAAACTCAAAAAAGCCTATGAAAAAGGTACCAGGAGCAAAAGCCAAATGTGAATGGAACCGAAGTCTTTTGCAACTGTTCACATAACTATTATGGCTGCTATCACATTTTTACACATGACTATGTAGTAGATATGATTGGATGGATGGATGGATGGATGGCCGCCTGATCGCTTTTACACATGGGAGATTCTTCTAATGTGCCCCCCACCTGATGCCCCCCATCCCACAATGTGTCCCAGACTTCCCTGTGCCACCTTGATGCCCAGGACCCTCATAGTGGGTGTCAGGACAGTGAGGGGGGGGGGGTGTAAGCATCCACTTGCTGATCTATGCAATGCAGAATGAATCTGGAAGCGCTCATCTCTGATCACTTCCAGGCAGGGGCGGACTGACAATTCATGGGCCCCCGGGCAATAGGGGATCATGGGGCCCCTGTGTCCTTGCCCAAACTCAAAAAAGCCTATGAAAAAGGTACCAGGGGCATCTCATGGGGCCCCCTACTGACCCCGGGCCCTTGGTCAGTGCCCGAGTTTCCAAATGGTCAGTCCGCCCCAGATAATGCGTATTATTATTATACTTCTGGTGAGTGCGCAATTCACCTATTACTCTCGGAGCACCACCATTGAGTCTACCAGTCACTTGGCACTTTACAACTGCAAAGACTGTTCATATTGAATCATATTTTAATCATTGCGAATACATATTGTCAATTCTTAGCGCTGCACTATTTATCCTTGCACTACATAGTTGGAGGAAAATCCAAAAGACATTGGGCTGAAATTGAACAGAAAATTGTATACTATTCTATACTATACTATTCTTTTGGAAATTCAAAATTCGGAAGACAGCGATATTCTTACGATTTTATTCTATTCAAAATTTGAATTTCAGAAGACGACTATATTCTTTCTATTCTATTCTATTATTTTCTTTTCTTGTCTGTTTATGGGCAGCACAGTGGCTAAATGGTTAGCACTTCCGCCTGCCAGTACTAGGGTCGTTGGTTCAAATCCCAACCACAGCACCTCCTTCCTGCCTAGAGTTTACATATTCTGCCTCGGTGGATTTCCTCCGGGTACTCCGGTTTCCTCCCACACTCCAAAGACATGCTGGGAGGTTAATTTGATCCTGTCTAAATTGTCCCTAGTATGTGTATGTATGAATGTGAGTTAGGGACCTTAGATTGTACACCCCTTGAGGGTTAGAGACTGATGTGAACATACTATATATATATATGGAAAGCGTGGTGTAAATTGATGGCGCTATATAAGTACCTGAAATAAATAATAACCAGGTATAGCAAATTACAAGCAGAATAAAATTTAGCTTTAAAAAAAATGAAATGAATTATAAAAAGAAAATAAGATTTTTTTAAAAATATTTATAAAAATGTAAAAAATATAATTACATAGTTACATAGTGATAATTTAATTTAATAATAGATTGTAAGCTCCCAGGATCAGGGCCCTCCTAACCCTCTTGTATTGAACTGCATTGTTGCTGTATTGTCTCCCGTTATATTGTGAAGCGCTGAGCAAACTGTTGGCACCATATAAATCCTGTATAATAATAATAATAATATATAAATCCTGAATAATAATAACATATAAATCCTGTATAATAATAATAATATTAATATATAAATCCTGTATTATAATAATATATAAATCCTGAATAATAATAATATATAAATCCTGTATAATAATAATAATAATATTATTAATATATAAATCCTGTAGAATAATAATATATAAATCCTGAATAATAATATATAAATCCTGTATAATAATAATAATAATAATATATAAATCCTGTATTATAATAATATATAAATCCTGAATAATAATAATATATAAATCCTGTATAATAATAATAATATATAAATCCTGTATAATAATAATAATAATAATAATAATAATATATAAATCCTGTATAATAATAATAATATATAAATCCTGTATTATAATAATATATAAATCCTGAATAATAATAATAATATATAAATCCTGTATAATAATAATATATAAATCCTGTATAATAATAATATTATTAATATATAAATCCTGTATAATAATAATAATAATATATAAATCCTGAATAATAATAATAATATATAAATCCTGTATAATAATAATAATAATATATAAATCCTGAATAATAATAATAATATATAAATCCTGTATAATAATAATAATAATAATATATAAATCCTGTATAATAATAATAATAGTTTGATACACAGAACAGACTAAATGTCATCCAGTTGGTGTACACGGACTTTAGAAGGTATTTTAAGGAGACTCTGACAGTGAGCGGGGACACACCGAGGGGAATTCCCGGGAAATACTCGTCGTTACAAAGCGATACAAAACATTTGTCACGTTGGGAAGCGCCGAGTTTCATCACGTCATTCCTCCTCGCACCGTCTCATTAAGCCTGCAGTTTTCTGTTTATGTAACAAGCACGGTGACAACGCGCTGGCGGCGAACGCTCTCTAGGACCCTGCGGTCTCTGCGTCGGCATGGGGGCGTGGCCTGGTTTCAGAGAAAATCTGCAGGAAGACGTAATTGCCAGAAAATTGTCCCTGGGCCGGGAAATGCCGTATTTACTGAAAGTGGAATCCTCATGGCTGCTTTAGAACTTAATAGCCTGGAATTCCCAAAACATATCGATTTCTCAGGGATGAATGACTCTCACCGACGCCGGCCGTAAAATGTCAGAAGAGCTCCATTACCGGAGACGTCACAATCCATACAAATAGCATTGTGTGCGGTTTTTTTTTCGTAGGCTGAAATTTAATCTGCTTGTATTTTGTCTTCTCCGGTTCCTATCTCCCCCTCATCAACATGCTAATGACATTTTTTAACCAGTTGCTGACCACGCACAATAGCTTTACTGCAACAGTGCGGACCGGCTGCGCACATTCATGTATATATGCGGAATTCTGTTTTTTCCAGGAAGGGGGCGCACTCTGTCATTGGTTCCCTTACATGCCAATCACTGGGTCTTCTGTCATCGGGAATGTGTCAATTTGTATCTCCCTGCAAACCAGGGGGAAATAAAGCAGCACATCCCCTAGAAAAAACAGCACAGTTAACCCTTTGACCGCCCCAGATGTTAACCCCTTCCTGCCCAATGTCATTTGTACAGTGTCAGTTCTTTTTATAAGCACTGATCACCAGGGCCGGACTGACCATTTGGGAACTAGGGCACAGCCCGAGGGCCCGGGGTCAGTCGGGGGCCCCATGAAATGCCCCTGGTACCTTTTCATAGGCTTTTTTGGGTGTGGTTTGAGTGTGGGCAAGGACACAGGGGCCCCATTATCCCCTATTTCCCGGGGGCACATGAGTTGTCAGTTCGCCCCTGCTGATCACTGTATTAGTGTCACTGGAGATGTCAGTGGCAGTTAGTCAGTTCCCACAGAGTGTCAGTTAGGGCTCGTTCACACTTGACTTTATTTCTAACTCTTGCCAGACGCCCCTAAAGCGTTAGACAGGCGTTTAGGAAGCATTTTTAACACTCCTCAAACGTTCCCCAAACGCCCTATGTGCGGTTTTGAGGCGGTTGATAGACGTTTGTCAAGCGTTAAAACCGCACCACAAACGCCTATAAGGAAGTTAAATGGTATTAACACTCCGCAACCGCCTCGAAACCTCACCTGCCAGGCGTTTGCAGAGCATCACCATAGACTTAAATGGGAGGCTTGAACTCCTCCTGACTGGACACGAGGCGTCGGTTTTGCACTGATGCAATGTGACGCGACGCTAACGCTTCAGTGTGAACAGCACTGTGTGCTGCCATGTGCAGAATTTTCATAGGCGTTTGAGAAGCATTAAAAACGCTTCCCAAACGCCTGTCTGACGCCTCCTGACAAAGCTAGTGTGAACTGAGCCTAAGTGTCAGATTGCTCTCCACACCATCACAGTCCCGCTATAAGTCACTGTTCGCCAATATTACTAGTATTAAAAAAACTAATTCCAGTGTATATACCATTGTTTGTAGACACTATAATTTTCATGCAAACCAATTAATGTACACTCACCGGCCACTTTATTAGGTACACCTGTTGAATTGCTTGGTAACACGAATTGCTAAATTGGCCAATCACATGGCAGCAACTCAATGCATTTAGGCATCTAGACGTGGTGAAGTCGACTTGCTGAAGTTCAAACCGAGCATCAGAATGGGGGAGAAAGGGCTAAGTGACTTTGAATTTGGCATGGTTGTTGGTGCCAGGTGGGCTGGTCTGAGTATTTCAAAAACTGCTGATCTACTGGGATTTTCACGCACAACCATCTCTACGGTTTACAGAGAATGGTCCGAAAAAGAGAAAATATTCAGTGAGCGGCAGTTGTGTGGAGGAAAATGCCTTGTTGGTGTCAGAGGAGAATGGGCAGACTGGTTGCTGTGACATTCAGATGGTCGGGTCAGAATTTGACGTAAACAACAAAGCATAGATCCATCCTGCCTTGTATCAATGGTTCAGGTTAGTGGTGGTGGTGTCATGGCGTGGTGGATCCATCCTGCCTTGTATCAGTGGTTCAGGTTGGTGGTGGTGGTGTCATGGCGTGGTGGATCCATCCTGCCTTGTATCAACAGTTCAGGCTGGTGGTGTCATGGTGTGGTGGATCCATCCTGCCATGTATCAACGGTTCAGGCTAGTGGTGGTGGTGTCATGGTGTGGTGGATCCATCCTGCCTTGTATCAATGGTTCAGGTTGGTGGTGGTGGTGTCATGGTGTGGTGGATCCATCCTGCCTTGTATCAATGGTTCAGGCTGGTGGTGGTGTCATGGCGTGGTGATCCATCCTGCCTTGTATCAATGGTTCAGGCTGGTGGGGGTGGTGTCATGGCGTGGTGGATCCATCCTGCCTTGTATCAATGGTTCAGGTTGGTGGTGGTGGTGTCATGATGTGGTGGATCCATCCTGCCTTGTATCAACGGTTCAGGCTAGTGGTGGTGGTGTCATGGCGTGGTGGATCCATCCTGCCTTGTATCAGTGGTTCAGGTTGGTGGTGGTGGTGTCATGGCGTGGTGGATCCATCCTGCCTTGTATCAACGGTTCAGGCTGGTGGTGTCATGGTGTGGTGGATCCATCCTGCCATGTATCAACGGTTCAGGCTAGTGGTGGTGGTGTCATGGTGTGGTGGATCCATCCTGCCTTGTATCAACGGTTCAGGCTAGTGGTGGTGGTGCCATGGTGTGGTGGATCCATCCTGCCTTGTATCAGTGGTTCAGGTTGGTGGTGGTGGTGTCATGGTGTGGTGGATCCATCCTGCCTTGTATCAATGGTTCAGGCTGGTGGTGGTGGTGTCATGGTGTGGTGGATCCATCCTGCCTTGTATCATTGGTTCAGGCTGGGTGGTGGGTGTCATGGTGTGGTGGATCCATCCTGCCTTGTATCAATGGTTCAGGCTGGTGGTGGTGTCATGGTGTGGTGGATCCATCCTGACTTGTATCAATGGTTCAGGCTGGTGGTGGTGTCATGGTGTGGTGGATCCATCCTGCCTTGTATCAA